GTGTCGATTATCTGATTTATACATTCTCGACTCGGTTACGCGTAGATTCGTTAGGCTTTACGCGAATGAAGAAGAATAATTTTGCAATTAATAACGGAACGTTTTATCTCGCTGTCTAATTTATTACGGCGTGCGATGTCCTTTGATTGGTATCTCCTTCACCTAACACCTGCCTGATCGTACAGAGACTAGAAGAAATACAAATTACCGTTTAATATTAAGCTGCTTGACGTTCGCGAGACGTCGCGTTTCTGTAAATTTAATTTTTTAGCAAACTTCGAGCTTCGAGGGATTGTCGCGTTTGAACGGGTAAGTTGATGTGATGGGTTGATGTTCGTTTGAATTGAAATTTCGTAAGAATCGAAAGAATTGAAGCTTCGAGGTGAGAAATTCGGAGCTTCGAAATTTCACAAACTTATCCTCGAAGTCGAGAGATTTGAAATTCAAAGATATCGCAACAATCGAAAGCTGAAATGCGAAAGCGGTAAAGAGAGAAACAAACGCGGGATAAAAACAAACGTAAATTGTACGCGATAGGAAGGGAATATGCTAAGAAGGTGATATACCTGGCCGATTAGATCGTTCGCTCGAAAAATTGGAAGCAAGTTACGTGTGCGGAAACTTAAGAGCAGCTTAAGTCGAAATAATAAAGGAACTATAAATTCAGACTGTGAAGTAGCACGCGAGTTGCGCGCTATCAATTCGCGAGAGGTTTGCGAAGTGGCGATCAAAAGAAACGCGATATCCTTGGCTGTTAACGTTTTATCCCCATTTCTTTCCCTTCGCTGAATTTTTTTTCCTCTTTCCCTTGTTTAATAACGTCGTACTTTACCGTGCTTTGTTAATCAACCGCTGACGCTCGTGCAAGTGAAAAATAATAATAATGATATTCGTATAATTCATTCTCGTGTTCATTTCTAATTGGAGCGTGTTTAATACCGAAAGTGTCCGATTCTATAAGAAATTCAACTGAAATGTTTCGAATCGCAACGTTGTCGATTTTAATAAAATTCCAAATCGAGAGATCCTCGCGAAATTTTTGCACGAATTTCCCAACTAGAAACAAGCAATGTTTCGAATCATGAAGCTTTCGGTTTGACCAATTGAGATTCCAATCACACGTCGAAGCTTGAAATTTTTTTTCCAAAATTCCAACGAATTCGAAGGTTCCCGATTTCGGCGGCTTTGAATTCGAGAACTTTGGATTTCGCGGGAAAAATGTCGAACTTCGATCCTTTCGGTTTCCAACAAAATTCCAATTTTGAGAATCCAGTGACCGATAAATTCTGCGACAGTTACACGATTCGAAAAAGTGTTGAACATCGTACACGAAGGAGAAGCGAACGAAACGGGAATTGATTATAATAGGGGAGATAGAGGGAGGTGAGAGTATCGAGAGAGGTGTAATTCCGATTCAGGTTGCTCGTA